TATTTTACAATTTTTTCCGGAATAATTCCGTATCTTTTACAATAATCATTTCATAGCAATAAAAATTATAATTCATACGGAATTTCCGTATGCAAATTTTTTATAGGGATGAACTACCAAGCTTTTATGGACTCTAATGCATTTTTAAAGTCTAATGACATGATGATGAGTGCATAGTAAACGAAAATGTTAAAATCTTCTTCCTCTTCTTCATTTGGTATTTCATCATGTAATAAATAGGATTAATTTTTCTAATCTATTTATATATGACTTTACATTCGAGATGATACCTTTTTCATAAAATTCCAAACAATAACTACATTGATTATTTTTCTCCAAAACATTAATGATGATGAGCATGACTACATATTAACATTACATCTTCTTCATCTTGAACTTCAAATCTTTGATTACAATTGGATGGTGGTTTAGAGGTATGGTATCCAGCTGGCAGACATTTTAATTTAACTTTTTTGTTTAATGTTACAAATTTATATTCATTCTTTTTTATCTTTTCACTTTTTCCCAAATTTTGGTAAATTTAATGAAAATAATCAATTAAAAATAAACTTGTTTTATATTTTAAATAATCTAGGGTAGATTCATTATATGAATGACTTTTAAATTTTCTAAATGAATTAAAAAAAATCTGTTCATTTGAATCTAACATAAGAGCTTGAGAAATTATTGCATCAGAAGAATGATGTGGAGTTGTGCTTCTTCTAATTCTGCTATGCCAGTTGTCAACATAATAGTCATTGGAATTGACAAGGTGAGATTGAATTGCTCCAAAAAATGAATGATTATTGTCTTTCCAATAAAAATAATCAGAAAGGAAGGCTAATGGAGTTTTATTGTAATTTTTTCTCTCCCATCTTAAGGCAAATGTCCATAACCTGAAAATTGTATCTATATATTGATCACAAGAGCCTGAGCAAAGGATTACACTGTAGATATCTAGAGCAGCAGGTATTAAATTATCCAAGAGATCTATTAATGTTTTAAATTCCATATCTTTACAAAGTGGGCCAAATTTTTGAAATATTTCTTTTTCAATTTCTTTCCAACCTGAGCTGGCAAGTCCTAAGAGCACATTTATTCTGGTAGGTTTTGGTTTCTTTGCCAATTTTTTGTTATTACCAAAAATTGATTTAAACATTTTTTCAAAGAAATTCCAGTGAGTCAAAATAATATGCTCTCTCATATTCAATGATATATGCAATGGACCAAGAATTGGGATAAAATTGTTAACAATTTCAGGTATCTGTATTGGTAAAATATTTTGTCCATTTTTTTGTTTGCAAAGCAATGTTATTGCTTGTCTTATAAATAATTGACCTGGAAAATCAGCAACAATTGGCATAACATTATATAGGAGGTAATTATACAATGAAGGTATGTCTGTAATCATCTTAAGAGCCTTTAAATAATCATCTAAACTTTTAAGGTTTTGTTCCTTTATATTAACTAAGTGACATTCCATCATAGATCTATCATATTGACATTCTTTTATAGCATCATCATATGAATGAATTAACAAGAGTTCTAGTCTATCAAAATGTTTAAAGGTATTCACATTATTTTCCAACCAGCTTAATTTTACAAGATTGTAACTATTACTTAATGAATTGATATATTTATCCTTCAAATATTTAATAATTCTCTTTGCTTCAATATTTTCAGGATTATGTATTGGAACACCATTATCATCTGCTGATATAGCTGTGCTATCTTTATAGTTTTAGAGCACAAGTAGCCATATGACGAGCTGTTGAAAGTGTTGTTGTGTTTGGTTGTCTAAAACTATGAATTGCATGATAATCATCAAGATTGGCACAAAATAATTTGTCTTTATTTTCTTCAAAATACTGATTTATTTTTTTTGGATGGTCATTTGCAATTGATTTTTTATATCTATCCACTGTTTTATAAGATACAGAAATGCCAACTCTTGCCATTACATCAATACACTCTGCAGTTGCACCACATGAAAATAGGTAAAGACCAATTTCTAATTGAAGAGAATTATTGAATTTATTTCTTAGACCAGTCAACAAATAACAAAACCCAACAAGTGACCTTTTTGCATTTTCTATATTATATGCAGATCTATTAATTGGTAAAAAAATATAGATTAATTCATCAAAAAAACCTTTTAATTTTGGTTCATGTTGTTCAATCATATCCTTAAAGTTTTGAGGGTTTAACTCAATATCTAAATTTAATTGTCTTTGTCTTTTATATAAGATTTGTGACAACAATTCAATTCTTTCACCAAATTCATTGAAGTGTTTTTTTGTATTTTTTTCATATTCATTTAATTTTTTTTTGCATTCCTTTTATGTTATTAATAAGATATCAAAACTTTCTTTTGATAAAGACTTTTTTCCATCCTCATGGTAATTGATATTTATATCTGACCAATAATCAAAATTTACATCAATATCATCAGTTGAATTTTCCAAAATATGAGATAATTCAACTTTCATGTAATCATTTTCAACAATATGAATTTCTCCAAATTCTCCTGATCTTTACTTTTTAACAGCATTTTTTCCACCTCTATTTGGCACCACAATTGATAAATAATGTAAATGACAAAGTTGATCACCAACTTGAAGGTAATTATACAGTGTGATTCAAAAAAAATGGTGATTGCTTATTTTGAACCTGTTAAAAAAATTACCATTTACTTATATGATAAATATGATTGGATATGATTGTTTACATGATAATCAATATTCATGTATGTTATTACATTGTCTTTTCTTTACCTTTTAACTTTTAAGCTTTGTAAAAAATGGTTAATGCAAAATTAGAAGCACAATGTAAAACTATTTTTCATTTTTGAATGAATGGTATCCATTCACCAAAAGAAATATATGAAAAAACAAACATCCCTCTTCGTACCATTGAGAACAACTTAAAAAAACTAAAAGAAACTGGTTCTATTTAACATAAAGGTGAGAATGGTCATCCATCGAAGGTTACTCAAAATCTGTCATGTTCCATCAGGCAAGTTGCTTGCCATAATACTGCTATTTCAACACACCAACTTGCAATTAAACTCCAAGTAACACATAATGTGTCTATTTCACAACCTACTACATGAAAACAAAGGTTACAGAAGTTCTGTGCCCATTGGAACTCCAATGCTAACCACTCGTCACTTTGAAGCCCAGATAGCATGGGCACAAGCTCATTTGAATGAAAATTGGAGCCATACAATCTTTACAGATGAGACAGCATTTGATCTTTTTCATAACAAAATTCGTAGATGGCACAAATATGGACAAAGACCAGTTCACACACAGATTGCTGAAATCATAGCAAAAAAGTAATGGCATGGGGAGGGATTTCATTAAAAGGTAAAACACCATTATTTTGTTTTACTGATATTATGGATGGGCTTTATTATGTCAACATATTGCAGACTCAGCTTTTGCCTACTGCACAAAGGTTGCATGGTAGAAGGTGGTGTTTGCAACAGGACAATGATTCAAAGCACACATCACATGTTGCAAAAGATTTCATTGCTGAAAATAGGATTAATATGATTAACTGGCCATCCAACAGTCCTGACCTCAATCCAATAGAGAATATGTGGTACATTATGAAGAATAATGTTGAAAAAAGGATGCCTAGAAATGTTGATGAATTGAAGTGATTTATGGTAGAAGAATGTGAGAAAATTCCCCAGGAGATGGTTAAAAATATTATTATGTCTATGAAAAGAAGATGTGAATTAGTTTTAGAAAAAAATGGTGATAGAATTTCTTATTAATTTCTTATTATTTAATAAAATAGAATATCAGCTTTCAAATGAATATATTTTTATTTAATTATGTTATGTAATCATTGAGTTATGTAATATTTTTGTGACCACCATTTTTTTTGAATCACACTGTAAGTTTCATATGCTTTATTTATTATAGAACTGCATTTAGCAGCTTCAGTGAATTTTCTAAATGGACCATGAGATTCACAACCTTCAAGAACACATGGGCCATGATTTTTAGGTTTTGGCATTTTAAATTATTTAAATATTTGGTTTATGGTTGTTGTAACTTTTTTTTTTTTCAATTTAATTTTATGAATTTACTTGTCTTTTTATTATAAATGATTTTTTTATTTTGTGTTGTTAAAAAACAAAAAAACACCATTACCTTGTTAGAAATGCAAATAAAAAAAATTCACCTTGTTAAAAAATGGGAAAACCATTGCCTTGTTAAAAAGATTAATTAAAGAAACCACTTTGTTAACACGAACAATGAAAAATTATTATATAAAATTAACCAATAAAAATTAATTTTATGAGTGATGTTTTTGAATGGTGATCGTCAAAAATATCACAAAATTTAGCCAATGAAATCAAATGTCCACTATGTTGTGATTAACTAATTGATCCATTTAATATTAATATACATATGTATCTGGAAATTAAAAACTTATGCTGGGGTCAAAATTGGTCAGCCAGCATTATACGGAGGATGCTGGTCGATTTTGATCCAGGAGTTTTAATTTCCTGATGTTTTTTTTCAGAATGATTTTGATTGGTTCTTTCATTATACTGACATGTCACGAGGCATTCGGTTTTGTCATAGCGTGATGAATGAATTGTGTTTAACATGTATAACAGTTTTTACTTATAAATTAATCAAAAGATGAGCAACAATAATAATCAACGTTATGGCCTAAGAACTCGAAAAACCAACCCAGATTATAGAGATAATTTTAGAAGAAGTAATCTAGACAATAACACTCTAAATCGTAGAAGATCCAGTAACAATAATCAAAGAACTCGTGGACAAAATTCTGGTGGTAGTAATAATAATAATGATAGTTCCAGCAGTACTAGCAGCAGCAAGCTTGCAACTGCTGCACCATCATCAACAACAAGTCCTTCTAAGAGGATGCAACAGCAGAAAAAGCAACGTCTAAAACCGGTTAGCTGTATCATATTTAAGAAAAGTGAATTAGAAAAAATTGTAAATGAACTTACTACAGATTTTGAAAACAAACTAGTAAACTTGTATCGTTTTCTTTTGGATACAAATGTATCATATCTGAGTCTAAAAGAACTTCATTTTTTTGAAAAGTTATCTTACTGTCTTAAAAATCCTAAAAATCAATACATATTTACAAAAATATTTATTAAACCTTTAAATGAATCTGATGTGTGGAAAGCACCTTTCAAAAAAATTGTAATAGCATTGTTATATTTTATGGAGAGAGAGAATTTTTATAACTATATTGATTTTTCAGTGGATAAATTAGAACAAGATGACGACACCAATGATGTTGATAAGGATGACTATAATTATAATTATGATATTGTTGTTGATGATGATGATGTTGTTGTTGACAAAGAAGTAGAAAATGAAGACAAAATATATTCGGAAATGTTGTCAAACATTTATCAGCCTTTTAAATCTGATAATAATGTACTAGAATTCACACCACCACAATCCACAAGTTTTTCTAGACCAGGCATTAAAATGATGATTTGTGGAAATGTTAAATTAAGAATAAAATATCGAGACAAAGAACTTAAAATCACGACAAAATTATTTACTAGATTTAGAGAATTAGCCAATAGAATAAAACTTGATGATAATAATAATTGTCTTAGTGACATTGGGACAAATATTATGATGAGAAATAATGATATAAGAAACTTAAGAGGTCCATTTACAGTACAAGAACAAATAGATGATGACGACGACGACGACGACGACGACGACGACGATGATGATGATGATGATGATTCGTCAGAAGAAATTTTTAATAGACGTCAACAACTGCTACATTTACAACAGCGGAGGCGACGGCGGCAGGAGCAGCAACAACAACCCAATAATATACTAGGAGAAGATGAAGATGAGGATGAAGATGGTTTAAGTGACTCATATACTAGTAGGCGACAAAACTTTGATCTTGATGAGGATGAGGATGAGCGTGAAGAACTTGATGAATTATTTGCAGAACAGAATAGGTTAGAACTTTCTATTTCGCAAGGAGACAATAATGAGGAACTAAATAATAATAATGATTATGAACAAGAAACAAATGACATTGACACAGTTGAAGATGAACATGAAGTTGATATTGAAAATGGTGATGATGGTATTGAAAACGGCGAAAGAAATTATAATGAAGAAATTGATGATCATGTTGATGATAATGGTGAGTATTTTGATGAAGAATTTGATATTATCGAACACGCTGAGGATTTATTCTATAATGAAGGGTTAGATGAAAATAATATATTTTATGATGGACCAGCAGAGTTTCACGATGATGATGATGATGATGATGATGATGATGATGATGATGATGATGATGATGATGCCACAAGTACCATTTCATCATTATCATCAAACAGTCAACACCAAGACAATGATTTTTTTTCCTATAAGGAAACACATTGGCAATTTTATATTGGAGATCAACGTATTCCACTTGATATGACAATTTATGCAGCTATTCATTGGTATATTACAGCTGATTCCAAATGGGACTTGGATCAACAATATGAGATAGAGTTAAAATATTCAAGTGAACCATATGTTGTAGACCCAAATTTACCACCTAAACTTGATTGCAAAGTTATTGAAAAAAACAAGTCAACATTGGAACTTTTAAAACAATTACACTGGTTGTACACTAATACAATTGAAGATGAAAGTTATCAGAGCAATTTATTTTTATTTAAAAATATGGAGGAGCTTTTAAATAAAAAATTAAAAGAGCCAATAGCAATTTTGACAGGAATATATCCAATTTGGGTATATTCTGTTTTTCATAACTATCGATTCTTAGTTTCAGGAAGGAATCAATTCAAATTATTTAAGGCACAAGTTTTTGGTATACGTATGTATAATGAGCGAGATCAAGATATATCTGGATTTTCTAAAAAGGAATTTAATATGATTAAAAGAATGTTACCAATTTGGAAAGACAAAGAAATACAAACACGTGATAAAGTGTTTGATTGGGCATTGAAACGACTTGAAAAGGTGACCAGTCTTTCAAACAAACTTAAAATCAAATTTAGAGGATTAGGAGGAGTAGGCCTTGGAGTTACTCGTGATTTCTTTACTATTTTGTCAGAGGAATTTTTCAAGAAAAATAAAAGAATGTGGATTAATAATAACTCGGTGGTATGTGAAGGGGAATTTGTACAACCATATAAATCAGGATTATATCCTGCACTAATTGGAGATGAAGGAGAACTTAATAAACATATAGAAGGAGATGATGACAAAGAAAGTAATGGCAATGATTTTAATGATGATGATAATGATGATGAATATAGTAAACTTTTAAATAATTTTAAATTATTGGGTACACTTACATCAGTTGGTATATTTAATAATTGTATAGTGGATTTAAATATGAGCAAAATATTTTTAACACTATTATTGAAAGATTTAAACGAAAATATAAAATATGATTATGGTATTGATGAAATAGAAGGGTTGTATGAGCCATTGGTTAGAGAATTAAAAAAATTTAAATCAACAGATGATTGGCCAGATTTTTATATACCATCACCACCAGCATTTAATGAGATTAACTTTGAGGAGGAGGAAACTGGTAAAACAGTAGCAAAATATCAAAATATTTTTATAGAGTATTTTTTTAATACAGGGATAAATAGACAAATAAATTGGTATAAATTAGGATTTGAACATTTGTTTCCATTTAAATATCTTAAATATTTAGCACCGACACCAACTGAGTTTACTTATTTCTTTTGTGGTAAAACCAAGGAAGATTGGACATTAAATACACTACAAAAGTATGTTCAAAAGAAAAATCAATCACCAATAAATGATAAGGATTATACGATGATATTAAGGATTATGAGTAATCTTGATAAGAAAGATCGTAGGAAATTGTTAAGATTTGCAACTGGTTGTACAAGACTTCCAATTGGTGGATGGGAAGTATTGGGGCTTAATCTTGATGCATTTCCGATTGAGGAAGCACATTATTATCCTGTTGGTAGAACATGTCATAATTGTATTATAGTTCCACCAAATAATGAAGAAGCAGAATTAAAAAGAAAATTAATTTATGCAATTTATAATCAAGCTGAAATAGATAGAGATTAATTAACAGGAATTTTATAAACAAATATAAATTAAATAATTTTTATTTATTTTTGATAGAATATATATATATCAATACATAGAAGAATTTTTTATGTAAATAAGGAAACAATATTAATAAAAAAACATTACTAAATTGTTGTATTTTTTAAAATAAATTTATTATTATTATTATTATTATTCAATGTAGTAATTTATGTGAATAATTTTTGTATTACAGATTCTAACCAAAAGAAAATTACAAAAAAAAAAAATTTTTCCAGTAATTAATCAAATGATAATATATATATTTAATACTATTTATCACAATAATCTATATTATTGTTGTTGCTATTGTTATTGTTATTACCAGCAGCCTGATATTCAGTTTTCAATTGTTTTATTTCTTTATATGAGGGAGAATCTTTATAAGCAATGCCAGCTTTCATAGCAGCAGCTATACCAGTGAATAGAACGTTACCAACTTTTTCATGAACATTATATTGTTGATCAATCTCAAAAGCCAAATTTATACCAGATCTTGAAATTTCCCAAGCTTTATCCTGTAAGCCATAAGTTTCATCGATATTTTTGATTTTTTTCATTGTATAATTTACAGTAGCAGTGATGGCATCAGGTATTGGTGATTGTTTTAAAGCAACTGCGCCAGTAATAGCAGCTTGGATTATATGATCTGATATTCCAGCATTATTGATGTCGTTACTGTGATGATCATCATTGTTGATGTTGTTGTTATTACAATTTGATGAGTGATATTTATTAAAAGAGTCAGAATCAACGCAGCAAGATTTATGATAATTATTTTGATAAAGATTTGGATTCTTTGAATCTGATGACTCACTGATCATCTCTTCAGATAATCCGGCACGATCAATAAAGTCTCGTAATTTAGTTTTTAATGCATCTTTTCTTGATTGATCGGCGTGAACTTTTATAATTTTAATTAATAAAATTAATAAAATTGATTGATTGATTAATTGATTAACTAAATAAATAAATAATTTTTTTCAAAAATTAATTAAAAATTATTATTACTTGGCATAGCTTCCAACATATTCTCTAAAGCAGTGAGATAAAGATCTAGTGCACATTCATGATTTCCTTGATGATCTTCTTCGACAGCAAAAGCAGAAAAGGCAATAGCTTGATCGATTTTCTTTCTATTCATTCTGTTTGATGGTTTTTTTCTACGAATAGGCTGAGGCATTTGGTTTGATTGAATAATAGAGGTATTGTTATTATTATTATCCCCATAATCATAATTATTCATGTTTATATTATCGCTAGTATTATCAAGAACATTGTAAGTTGAATTAAAATTTGTGGATTGTTTTTGCTGAGCCCTAGGTTGAATATGTTTATTATTATGAGTTAGTTGTTGTTGCTGTATTGGAACTGCTTGTGTTGTTACAGAATCTGATTTTTGGGATTGTTGTTGATTTTGACCAAATATACCAACTAACGGTAACATGATTAAAGAAGATTGGAGTAATTGAGTTTGTAAAGTGGAAAGAAGAGATATTACTAAATAAACTTTACTAATAGTTGTTAATTGAGTAGAATTGTGACAATAACGATGTTGATAAGTAGAATCTACCGTTTTTTTTTTCGAATAAAAAATAAAGATTTTTATTCGTTAAATGGTTATTTGTTAAAAAAGTTATCTTAAAATGCAACACAACATTTGTTTTCGTACACGTGGATAATAATTTAACTTACTTACTATTAACTGTTTGTTTTCTAATATTTAAATTATTTAATTGATAAATATGATTTTAAAGTTCAGGAGAGAATAAAATTCTGGTATAAAAGATTTTTTAAAAAATAAAATTGTTCTTTTTATATTTTTTTTTTTAAATTTTGAAAATTTTTATTAGAACATTTATTTTGATCTCTATTCATTTGATTTTCATGCGAAAAAAATTAATTTGTTTTGATTTTCATATGTTCATTATGTTCATTATATTAAAAAAAAAAGAACAATTCCATGATTATTCATTTTTTAAAGGTGATTTGAACATAGAAAACTTTTCTTTTTATGTATATGATCTGATTTTAAATTATTCATGCATATTTAATTATCTGCAGTATTGCTCTACCCAATCTACACGAAATAAATGACTACTGCTGCATTTTTGGAAAATAAGATTTGTATGAAAAATTTTACTTTTTGTTGCAACTGATAAAGTGCATTTTGAAAAATTATCATCATTATTGTTTAAAAAATAAAATAAAATTTAAAATAAATCTTGAAAAGAAAACACCACACGAAGCAACAAGGATTTCTAAAAGATGTTATAAATAACATCAGAATTCAGTGAAATGCCAGATTGGTTAGAAAACCAAAAAAATGCGAGGTCTCATATATTGAAGCTATAGCAATAATAAAAGTTATAATTTATCATAGAAATAATAATAATTTAATTTTTAAGGATAGAATATAAAAGAAAAGGCAGTATATGTGACATTGAACTTTCTAAAAATTTAAAATAATGTCAAAATTTTGATAAACCTTTATACAAAAGTAGAGATTGGGCATCATGGTGAGTTTTTCTTAAAAAAAACTTTTTTTTATTAGGTGAAAATATTCATAATAAAGTTATTTTAAATTAATCAATTAACATGTTGATTTTTAATTTAATTGGTAAAATTGTTGATGAGAAATATGCAAATAAAAGTTATATTCAAAGGTTAATTTATTGATTATTTTAAAAGCTTATATAGATAACCAATTATTTATATTTATATATTTATAGGCTAAACTTTATGCTTTGAGTAAGGAATCATTATTGCAGACACCAAACTTGAGTTTGGGATTGATTCTGATGGACAACCCATTTTAATAGATGAAGCACTAACTCCAGGTATACATCACTGTTTACAACAATAACATAATAACAAATAGAAAATTTAATAATTAATATTAAAATTTTAATTTGTATTACCAAGAAATTAACAGTGCAAGACATCTAGTCCCTACAATTTTATTGGTCTTGCGTGACCAAAAAATCAAGATGTAATTTTGAAGTAAAGACCTTTTCTCTACAAAGTTGCATCTTGATATGTCATGTGGAGGAATTAAGCCTCAAAGTTGCACAAGTTTAACAAATTTACTATGTTACTCCCAACGTGATGTATTCGATTGGGGGTAACATGGCCTATGTAGATCAAAACTAGTTAATATATAAAATTTACTAATAAAATTTTTTCAATAAACATAAAAAAAAAATTGTATCTCCTCCTTCAAAAAAAAGATACAACTATGAAATTAAGAGAGATTGTGATGGTAAACGTGCTGACAGAGAGTTTTTTAATTTTATTACAGTCAGGTATTTACCCAATATGGAAATCGATTCTGGAAAAATTCGAACCCCCTCGTCGATCAATTCATATATGATTCATAGAGTTTACGTGATGCATCCATAACATGTAAACAAAAAAAATTTTATAATCAAATAAATATTATTCAATTTTCTAAAATCAAAGAAAGTTAGGCATTAGGAATTTGTTTTTTTAAATAATTTTTTTGGATAAAACACAAAAACCAACTCTTAACACCTTATACTGTTTATTTGCTCAACAATATTCTAAAAGCTGGGTCACTGGGTCCAAGATTTCAAAAAATCAACAAGTTAAAAAAGGGGAATAGCCTTGTAACTTTACACAAAAATTCTTTTTAATAATACTATTGGAAGAATAGATAAAATAAACCATTAGTTTCAGATTAACTAAGATCTTTCACAGTAAGTTCTGGATCTCAAATATGTTAGTTTAAAAAAGAGTGATTTTGTTAACCAACTTTACAAAATTTCTTATTAATAGTATCCATAGGAATATAGAACAAACTTCTAGTTTCAGATTATCAATTAATATGCTCTAAATTTGCCTTTATCTAAATTTACAAATATTTAAATTGGATAAAATGACCAAATAAATAACTATAAATCAGTCCCTTATAATTAAAAGCAAAAATTTTCTAACACAACCTTCCAAGTGGTTATAAGCGACTTTGTAGGGAACACTTTGACACAACTGTTGCTGTTGAATTTGCTTTAGTATGCATACTAGTTGAGTGATAATCTTAAAATAAGTGTAAAGAAAAGAAACACTTCTGACCTGGTGTAGAATAACCAATATTTAGGCTAGCCATTTCTTTTAATTGCTGTTAAAAGTCCCAATCTGGCTCTAAAAATTTTATTATGGCTTGCTATATGGAAAACAGAGATTTTTTTTTTTTGGACGATAATATAATAAAATATAATTAAATGATCAAGTTGCTTTTTAAGGGCTATATAGGAGCTACATTTCAAGCTTTGTGCAGTATTATTAGCCTTTATTCTTGGTTTAAAAGATAAATTTCAAATCAAATCCACACTATTTGATTTTGACTCAGCCATCATAATTTCATTTTATTAATAAATTTACTAATATATAAATATACAACTATAACTAACAGATATCTATACAACAATATACATAACTCATCATACATATGCACATGCACATGTTTATATAATATATAATATATATAACAGATAATATCCATTTAATAAATAGATTGTTAATTGACAAGTATATACTGACTAGAGGAATTAAGTTCATTGTTTAAAACGGTTTTTAAATCTTTCCAAGCTCCATCATGATCATTACGATCTCTGTAAATAGAACTTCGTTCACATAATGCTAAAATGTTATCAGGTTCATTTTCTAACACTACATTCAAATCTATCAATGAGTGATTAATACATCCACGATAACATAATGCCTTAAGCTGGTCTTTTGTATATGTAATTTGTTCCTTTGGTTTTGCCTTTCCTAATCCTAATACCTTATCAAAATCTTCCAATGCTGTTTCTTGATTTCCTTTAGAATAATAAAGAACTCCTCTTGTAACACAAAATAATTCTTTATCTATTGTGCTATCAATTAGTTTTGTCAATTCTTCAATTGCTTCATCTGTCTTATTAAAATATTGATAAATTTCCAACCTTTTGCAAATGATAATTTGATTTCCTGGTTGAAGTTTTAAGATTTCATATCTACATAATGTCAATAACAATCTAGCCCGATCCTTCAAATATTCCAAATTCTTGGATTCTAATTTTACCAATTGGCTCCAATCATTTAATGCATCATAATATTGTCCTTGTGACTCATAAATTTTTGCTCTACGAAACAATACACCTTTATCTTTAGGATTTACTTCAAACACTTTACTTAAATCCAATATAACATTCTTATGATCACCAAGTTTCTCATAAATTGAAGCTCTTAATTCATATGAATTTGTATTCTCATCTAATTCCAAAGATTTATTGATGTCACTTAAAGCTTCATTAAATTTATTCATCTTATATAATGTTTCGCTTCTATCATGTAGAGCATTTGGATCATTTGGTTTCAATTTCATCACCTTATCAAAATCTTTCATTGCTTCTTCATACTTGTTTATTTTTGAAAAAGCTTTGCCTCGGTATCTATAACCTGAAGGATTATTTGGCTCAGTTGAGATTGATTTATCTAAATCTAGCATTGCTTCATCATATTTTTCACTTAATGTATATATTTTCCCACGATTTCTTATCAGTTTGGAATTTTTCAAATCCAGTTTAATGGCTGATGTTATATCTGACAATGATTTAGCATAGTCTTTTTGTTCTCTGTAAATTTTGGCTCTAGAAAGATACGTGGGAATATTTTTTGCATCAATTGATAATGCTTTATTCAAATCATTCAATGCCTCATCATACCTTTTCAAAGCTTTATAGACTGTTCCTCTTTCAGATAACTTTATAACATCATTTGGAGATTTACTTAATGAATTATCCAATAAATTTAATGCCTCATCATGCCTATTTAATTGTGTATAGAGTTGGTTGATAAGTGTGGCAGCTTTAATATCATCCTTATCAATTTTCATTGCAGATTTAGCATCTTCTAATGCATCTTGGTATTGTCGTAAAATCTGATAAATTTCTGCACGTCTTCTATATGTTGATGATTTGGGTTTCAAATTTAATGCTCTTGTATAATCATTTGATGCCTCTTTATATCTAAATAATCCTTGATATACTTGACCACGATTACTAAATAGAGATGCAGCAATGGTAGATTTAGGATTTGATAATAGATTACTTAATTGTTCTAAATCATTCAATGATTTTTCAAATTCTTTTTTTAATTTAAACAATTTTGCTCTTTTTAATAAAAGTGAAGGGGTTTCAGGTGAGAGTTGTATAGCTTTACTGATATCATCAAATGATTTTTCATAATCAGATATTTTCTTATGAACATTGGCTCTAAATTGTAAAGCTTCAATATTATTGGGTTCTATTGATAAAACAACATTTAAATCATCAATTGCTCTTGGGAATAATTGACTTTGATAATATATTGAAGCACGATTACTGAGTAGCCAAACATCTTGTGGTTTTAGTAAAAGCCCCGCATTCATATGATTAATCAATTCAAGTTGACCATCTTCGCGTTGTTTAAAATATTCAATACAAATTTTATGTGATTCAAGTGCCAATAATGGATCATTTGGATCAATTTTTAATGCTTTACACAAATCATATATTGCCCCTTTTTTATCATTATAATCATGTTCCTTATAAAGTGTTAATCCGCGTAAATACAGAGCATTTGATTTATCTGGTTTGAGATTAAGAACTCTGTCCAAATCTTCAATTGCTCTTGATTTCTTACCAAGACCTATAAATACTTCAGCCCGATCACACCTATATGTACATGATTTGGGATGAAGCTGAATTAATTTTTCACAATGTTCTAAAGCTTCTTCATAATTTCCTGATCTGATTGCTTTAAGAGCTTTCTGTCTTGTTGGATTTAATTTCTTTGGTACCATAACCCTAGTAAAAAATGACCCTCTTTGATTATTATGATTATTGTTGTTATTATTATTACTGTTGTTGTTGTTATTGTTGCTGCTGCTGCTGCTGCTGCTGCTGCTATTGTTGTAGTTACTGTCACCACCGCACTTATTATTATTACTACCAATGAAACTAGTGCCACTACCATGACCATTAATATAAATGATTTTACCTTGGCTAATAATTCTAACTGTTTTATTCATAATACCACTACCACCTCCATCACCGCAACCACCATTTTTATTGTTATCAAATTCCATTATTATATATTTATAATAAAGTTTTTTAAAAAATTGAAATAAGAAAAGAAACTGTTTATCGGAATTTGAAAAAATTTTATATACAAATTTGGAATTTTAAAAAAATCTTATTAAAACAAAACAACCATCCCAGAATTATTTTCGCATATGCAATGTAAATTTTTATGGTAAAATTTAATAATAAATTGAATAATTTTAAACCATGATAACTTTTGTTTTTTATAATTTTATTGTTTAAGTCTTCTATAATAAAGTTACAGAGAGCTTTTTTTCCTATCTCATTTGGTTATAAAGTTTTCCTATTAGCAATCTTTTTTCAATTTCTTTAGAATATATAAAAAAAATTTTTTTTTTATTTAGCAAAAAAAAACTCTCTGTAATCTAAAAGCTTAATCTATTTACTATAATTTCTCTTAGTTTCATGTCTGTATCTCTTTATTTGAAGGCTCTGATACGATTTTTATTTATATAGTTTTTACATATATTATTTTTTTAAAAAAAGTTTTGTTATTGATCGGCATTATGTTACATCACCTAATTTTGATTTAATTAGGGCATCTCACACTGGGGTGTCCTACATCATATGATTTACAAACATAGTCGATCACATATACAGTCAACCCTCCATAAGTGCACCCCCCTTGGGACCAGGCAAGACCGTGCACTTATGGAGAAGTGCACTTATAGAACAAAAGTATTTTATTGGTTGCACGTGACACTAATGAAAAATTAAAAAAAATTTTTATTTATAAAATTATTTATTGATTGATAAAATCATACATTGTAGTTTGTTTCATTCTATTTATTTTTTTTAGATTAATAAATTTATCAAGAGTAGAGGTTGGAACCGGTTCTATTTTCAAGAACCGGTTTTAATCACCTTTTCAAAATCAGAACCGGTTTTAAACCGAATATAATAAAACCGGTTCTAACCGGGCAACCGGTTATAAATAAAACCGCAAAACCGGTTTTAATCGGGCAACCGGTTTTAATTTTGTGGGGAATATATCAAATGAAAGCAAAAGTTATTTAATTATTTGTTTTCCAAGTCAAACTTGTTGCTTATATACATGCCTATTAATTATAGCATAATAATTACATGCAAGTATTCAGCATTACTTACCATAATAATAGTATATTAATATGGAATTTTAAATGAAGCAAAATTCATAATAAAATAGAGTAATAGTAAATAATCCTGTCCTTCATTTTCTAAAACAGTGATTTACATGTGATTAATCAATTCAAAATTTTTTTATTATTAAAACAAAAATTAAAGATTTTTGGGTGGAAATAAATTGAAATGTTCACTATTTCTTTTTAAAAATAAAATTTGATTGACCAAATCTGGAGATAATTGAGTACGTTTTGCAGAAATATGGTTGCCAGCATCTGAAAACAACCTCTCGCTAGGTACAGAGGTTGCAGGAATTGATAAATATTTTTGAGCAAGTTGAGATAGAATTGGAAAATTGCCTTTATTTGCATCCCACCATTTTAAAGGATCCTCCATAATATCAATCTGCCGAAGTTTCACATAACTCAATACTTCATCATCATCATTCTCAACTTCAAATGAACTTAGATCAATTTCCAAGGTTTCAAAAAAATCATCATTGTCATCTTCATTAGTTGTATGTAAATTGTGAATAGTTGTTGTTTGTTGAATATTATTAGATTCAAAATCCACTTTTGTAAAATCATATAATTCCCGTAATAATTGATGTGATTTGTCTCTTTCCTCACCACTTCTATCCCATTGGAAATTTTTGAATCGGGGATCAAGTACTGTTGCAATTTGAACTAATTCTGTTGGAACTGACCATAATTCATCTAATGATAAAAAAATAGCTGCTTGAACTTTTTGAAGAAGGCCAGTAGTATTAACAGCTGGTAAATATTCAACATGATTAATATCATCTATGTCATCTATTGCACCTCTAGTTCCTATACCATGACCTCTTCCTCTTCCCTTCCCCCTTCCCCTCCCCCTTCCTCTCCCTCTAGTAATTCGCATCCTTTGTTGAAATTGACAATGGGAATATTGCCAATGTTGTCGTGAACCACCAGATGGGATTTCATCATCATCACTGGTTGAACTGTCAGATTCTTCTTCATTGTCATTATTATCTTCAGTTTGTGGCCCATAAATGAGATCAAGGTGTGTATCAAGACTTTCTCCATTTTCAGACTTAGGTGCAAATGTCTTTTTCAACAATTCCATATAAGGGTTAACAAGACTTAAAGTAACATATTTAGCTCCACAAAATCGGCGAGTTACTTTTTCAAATGGTGATAAAAGGTTTACCATATCTTGAATAAATCTTTTCAAAAAAAAATAATATATATTAAATGATAGCACTATATAAAACTATAAATTATTTTTTTAAACTTACTGTTTTTCATCAAGAGATAAACATAGTCGTTCTAATTTCTCTCCTTCTTTCTGTGATGCTCGATCTGGTTTTGTCAACAATGTGGTAGAAATGAGTCGCATTGAATTGTGTAATTCTAATATTCTCTTCCATGCATAGTATGTCGAATTCCATCTTGTTTTAACATCAGTTAAAACATCAAGAGGGTTACTATAATCATTTTCCTCCAGTAATTGCTGATTGCTTTGTTGGGCTTCCCGAAGTCTCTGAGCTTGTTTTGGTAAACGAAAAAATGCCTGTAAACACTTTACTCGACAATGTATTGATTTACACTGCTTCAGACCTTGTAGAACTGAAAGTTGTAATGTGTGAGCAGCACAAGGTTGCCGTTTTATTTGTGATAAGTATTTCTCACCTAATAGTCGAACACCCTTTATCATATTAGAACCATTATCAGTTGCAATGGTAAATGCTGTGTTTGATAAATGCCACTCATTTATAATTTGAAATAATGCAGCACTGATAGTCTCTCCTGAGTGTGGATATGGAATGTGATTACATGACAAAAGTGCCTCACAGAATTCAAAATTAGATGTTAACCATGTGGCTGTTACACCAAGATATCCATGACGAGACCTTGCAGTCCATAAATCAGTAGTCAAATGAACAGCAATAACATTATTATTATTTAAAAGTGAACAAAGTTGTTCCTTACAGCATACAAATGAATCATTGATTATTGCTTTTACTGTTTTGTCACATGGAATTCTATAACCCGGCTCACAGATAAGGAGTAATTCACGAAAGTATTGATTTTGTAAAATATATAGTGGTTGAATGAATTTGATGATAAAGGTTACAAGCTTTTGTGTAATAAGTTCCTGTCGTTTTGGTGAGCATGGAGCTGCTGCTTTTAAATATCCTATAATTTGAGTTTGATCACGTCGGGGCTATTAAATATTAATTAAACTATTTTAGAAGGATAAAAAGAATGAGGATATGGATAAACACCTGCAGCAGAAAGCAATTACCTGATTAGAATTATCTAAAAACTGAAAATAATTTTCTTTTGTGATTTTGTGTTTATCACGCAAATGGACAATAAGATTTGTTGTGTTTCCACCTTTTCGGCTGTATGCATAAGGTTTTTGACATGCACCAGCTAAATTAATTTCACATATTTTGCAATAGGTGATGGAAGTATTAATTGGATCAGTGCGAAAAAAATAGGATGTATGGCTTTGATTGTTTCAGGATTTGGTGGTGCTTTGATTGTTGTGGGAATTAATGATATTAATACTATTTCGTTTTTTTCTATTTAAACTGTTAGAACTGTTGGTTGTAACTGTTTCTGTTTCAGAAATGATTTCAATTGAAGAAGTAGGTTCATATTCAAAAGGAGGAGGAGATAAGGGAATGTCTTCTATGTCATCCATTATTTTTTTTTTTTTTCAAAGAGAAAAAAAATTTTTCTTATAAATAACTTTATTCACAAGTGCAACAATTAATATACAAATATTTACATTATCACGAGTACATTAATGTACAAATAAAGAAATAACTCTAAACATTATTGCAGAACAAATTAGTTTATATTACTAATTATGTTAAAATAAAATTATTTGTACAAAATTATTTTTAAATAATGAAAGACAGCTTGTCTGTTTGTAAGAGTGTTCAATTTGTTTTGACAAGTGACTCTTTACAATTTGGTAGCAGTGAATGTTTTATACATATGTACATATGCACATTCACATTTACATATTGCGAAATAGTGATTTAAGGATCACAGGGAATTTGGAAAAGTTATCTCTGGCAATGAATTCATATTAATCCCGTGTATAATTAATTTTCTTTTATTTTATATTTACCACTATTTTTTTTTATTTCTTTAGTGAGTAAATTTCAACAATCAGAATTATCAGATGATTCTACAGATTTTGAAGAAATTTATGAAACCAGTAATATATGTGAAGCAGCAATTTCTACTAAAACTTTGCATAAAAAAACGATTAAAATTAACTTTTTTGTTTTAATTAAACCTAAATAAAATTGAATTTATTTTTGTCATCTTTTATCATACTTTCGACTTTACCCTTTGTCACTTTTCGTCACGTTTCATCACGTTTTGTCACTTTCATCATGTTTCGTCATATGTGCCCCATTTGATGAAATACTTTTTACACTCCAAAATATTTTCGTCACTCAACCTTGATATACATACACTTTAGTTATTGTTTTTGTTTGAAAATGGTGATGGAGAATTGATAAATGCTTTATATTTAGTACAGTCTCTTTACATAAAGTTTAATAATAAAACCGGTTTTATTATATTCGGTTTATCGAATACGAAAAATAGGAACCAGTTTTACGTTGCAACCGGTTGCAACTGGTTTTAATTCGATTGTACCCAAACTGGTTCCAACCTCTAATCAAGAGCATTAGCCATTTTTAATTGTTCACTAGAATTTTCTTCTTGTAGTAGAAATGCATAAACAGTTTTTAAACTTTTTGAAGCTTCGCTGGCACTTATTACCACTGGTTCAATACTATCATCTTTATCATCTTCGATATCCTCAATAGGCACTTCTAGCTGTTTTTTAAATATTTCTACAAGACCCTCAATAATTTTATCATCATTATCAGGAACCTCATAAACCATTCCTTCTTCTGGATTATTTAAAAATTCATCAATTTGCATAGCATTAGATAGGTTAAGTGCTCCAATTGAATCCGAAAGTTCTTCTAATGTAGGAATATTAGTTTCTCCAACATTGCTAGCAGTATCAATGGCAGCTGGGAGGATTTTGGTATGTTGCCAGCAGTTATGAATGGTTTCAGGTGTGATTTCTTCCCAACTTTTAATAATGTATTGTATTGCCTGCAATACATCCATTTTTAAATCTTTTATATCATTTCCATCTTCAACTTGATTTAGAATCCATTTAATATGTAAATGATGATAATGTTTTTTAAAAGACATAATAATTCCTGCATCCATTGGCTGAATTTTTGATGTGGTGTTTGGAGGAAGAAAATGAACATCAACATGAGAAAGAACCAAACCATCAATCTTATGGCTTGGAAAATTATCAAGGAGCAATAATACCCGCTGATTATATTTTTGAGCAACCTCCCTGTTAAACTCTTGAAGCCAGTCTTGAAAAACAGTAGACAGCATCCATGCCTTAGTATTATAACGATATGTCATTGGTAAGTTGTTTATGTTAATATTTTTAAAACACCTTGGCTTTCCAAATTTTCCAATTATTAATGGATTCAACTTGTGTGATCCATCAGCATTTGTACACAAAGCAATTGAAAGTCTTTCTTTATTCTTTTTACGACCAGAAAGTCTATTTGTAGCTAATGTTCTATCTGGTTCTAATCTGTAAAGAATAAAAAATAAGATCAAATTCTATTCAATTTAAATACAGATAATCAAAGATTGGTATTAAAATATTAATTACCTATAGAAAAGACCTGTTTCGTCCATATTATATATTCTTTCAGCAGGATAATTTCCACATTTACCTCTCAATAATGGTAAAGCATCACTAATGGCAGCTAGATCAGCTGATGATGCCTCTCATGAAGTTTTATTTGATGAATTCCATTACGATTTTTAAATTTTACAAGCCATCCAGTAGAAAATTTCAATGTCCCTTCAGGAATTCCTAACCCAGTTGCTATTTGCTTAGCCTTTTCAACTAAAATAGCATCACTCAAGATTGCTTTGTGTTGATAAACTAAGACAAATTCCTTAAGAGCCAATTCAAGTTCGGGGACAATCACAGATTTATGTCTTTTTGCTTCTGGATTGCTAATTTCAGTGCTAAGTATTTCTTTACTTTTTTGAATAATTCTGGTTATTGTTGATTCATGAACTGTAACTCCCCATTCTTGTTCAATCCATCCAACATATTCTTTTCTGGTCAATTTATTATTTGCAGCAAATAAGCAAAATTCATATTTTTGGGTATCAGATAAAGTTATTTTACTTGAAGACATTTTTTTATTTGGAAGTTATAAAAGAATACGAATGACTTAATGATATAAAACAATTACAGTAAACAAAGATTGATATATAATAACTGGATATTTTTCTTTTTTAAAGTAATAAGTGTAATTCGATTTAATTATTAAAATTCTTAATTTTATCTGTTATGACTTTTCTTTTACCTTTTTATATGTAATAATTCCAACTATATAAAACATAAGAGCTTTGTCACCTGGATTTTATTCTCTTATTCTCTTATTCTCTTATTCTCTTATTCTCTTATTCCGTTTGTTATTCTGTTATTCTAATAATTATTTACATCTATTAAAAAGAAAGAATTAATCATTTGTTATAATAAAGAAAGAAAGAATTCTTTATTTTCTTGTTACCTGAATTATTATTTTACAATGTTTTAAAACATCATTGTACATGGAATTACTAAATTAAAAATCAATGTTAAAATTTTAAAAAGGTCAATGGCTTACTTTCTCCACTTTAGGAATAAATTCATTAAAAAATGACACTAATGTTTTCCTCACTAATAAATAAATAATGATTTCATATTGCGGCGCAGTCACGTGAAAGTCACGGGAGTGCACTTAGAGAGGGTGGTTTTATATGAACGGGACCAGGAAAAGACTGTGCAGTGCAGAACATAGAGAGTGTGCATTTATCTCTAAGTCCCGAGCTTGGGACTGGGACATAGGGTGCACTTACGGAGAGGGTGCACTTATGGAGGGTGCACTTATGGAGAGTTGACTTGTATAAATTTTTATAAAGAAGGATTTTTCGTCGATCTTTTTTTTAATAGTAAACTTTGAACGAAAATAACTCTTTAAAGAACAGAGGTACAGATTCCAAATTAAGTTTAAAATATATTAGAAGGATAGGGGAATGTCCCTATAGAGAGTTTTTTTTTGATTTTAATATAAATCATATCACTTACTCTAAGTTAAAAGAAAAAAAGGAAAGTTATGTATATATGATACAAAATTTTATGCAAATAAAATTGTAAAAAGCTCTCTATACGCTTAAAGAGCATCAAAATGTGAATCCAAACCATGTCATTTTATTTAGATACGTCATATAGTTTAAGAGTTATTTCAATTTTTGTAATCTTGCGAATATATTTGAGTAAATTTTAGTGTTACACCTAAATTTTATAATTTCTATATACAGTCAAACCTTGTCACAACGAATTTTGTCACAACGAATTTTTGTCACAGCGAATTTTGAGATTTTTTTTTTTTTTAATAATAAAAAACTTTTGTTACACCGAATTTTATTAATAAATCGCATTATACCGACAACGAAG